AAGCAATCCATTAGATGGGGAAAAAGATAATACCCAGTGTTGGCAATAGTATGGTAAGAGATATTTGTACTTTGGTGGTAAGGGTATAAACTGGCACACCCTTTCTGGGAAACTATTTGGAAATTTGAGGCTTAAATATGGGCATAACCTTTGACCTAGTAATTCTGTTTCTTACAATTTGTTCTAAGGAAATAATAAATCACTCTACTGTTTCAAAGCATAATCAAAGGAACAACAGTTATATGTTAATTATACCTCAATAAAATTTTTTTTAAAGTATAGCAGCAACAGCTTTCTAATATTATGTGATCGAAAGCAAGTATGTAGTGAGTTCCTGAGAACTTGAGATGATGATAACTTCTTGAAGTGCTTCTTTTATGTTTACCTTATCATCCAGCCCATTGTCTTGCCATGTAGTAGAGGTTGAATACTTTTAATGAGTAAATGAGTAAGTTCAAACATTGAAATAGAAAATATCAAGTCTATGTTCACCCATATCATCCAGCCCACTGTCCTGCATATAGAAGTTCAATAAATACTTTCAGTGAGTAAATAAATGAGTAATTCCATAAACTGAAATTTAAAAACCCATCAAATCCATAGAATAAGGTCACCATTACTCCTGAGGCTACCACCAGATTTAATAACCATTAAGTGTTGCTGTGGGGAGGATTCCAATCCTATTTTTCTTTGTTTAGGCTTTTAAAATTATATGAGTAATATATATGCATATTCTTTTTGAATAGTACTTTATAATCTGCAAAGTGTTTTTATATTTTATCTTCTCTCAAATCAGAAGAGGTACCACTCCCACTTTATAGAAGGGACAACTGAGGCTTACAGCAGAGCCAGGATTAGAACTATCACTTCTGACTCCTGGCCCAGTATTCTTTTTACTATAGGAGTCTTTGGGAAACTCTTAGGAAACAGGGAGTACCTAGCATGTTTATTAAGGGCGGGTGTGCATCAGTTCCAGAAAGATGTTGACAGATTAGAAGGAATTTAAAGAGGAGCCAACACTGCTGGAAGGAAGGACATAGGAGAGATGAAAGGAGCTAAATATGTATAGCTTGGCCAAAGGATGATTAAAGGGGATATGATAACAGTCCCTAAGAATGTGAAGGATGTAAACATCATGGAAAGAGAAAATGTATTTAGAACCAATCAAAGCAGTACATAAAAAGAAATAAAAATTAACGCTAAATATCAAAAAAAGCTGTTTCATGGAGAGACTTGCTAGCTTGTAAATTGGAATCCCAAGAGAAGTATCAAAAGCCCCATATATAGAAGGCATTTACGACTGAGCTCTCCTGCTTACATTTGGGGAGGGCTTTCTAGTTCTAATTTTGATGACTGATATCATGGCCCTTCCTAGCATGGATTTGCCACCCAGTTCTGATTGCACAGTTTTGCATATCAGGGTCAAAAGAAAGAGTCTTGTTACACTCTTGTAGAAGCCAAACTCAGGCACGTCCCCAGCGTCATGCAGTCCAACCTTGCTGACTGTCCATGAAGCCTAAATTGAAACCCTAAGAGTGTGGCTGTTTAACTCTGCAATCAGGTGATTCCTCCCTCCATGGTGCCCCCTGCTGGGCATTTCAGGTTGTGAGCAAGATACAGAGGAGCCTCCCTGCTGCAAAATTAACAGCCACAGTTGGTGAGCAAGTGGAAACATTCCTGAGGGAGCCTAGGAGGCACTGCAGTCCTTTGTCCTGTGAATGCAGTTAAGACATTGCCATTGCCTGGGTAGGAAGTGATCTTGCACATATTGCGTGTGTGAAGTCACGTCCCAGGAGAGGCACCAGAGCCCATGGGGACATCAAATAAAATCTGAGGCCAAAGCTGTAAAAGGTATTCACCATTCACTGGGATGTAGCCACAGAATTATCTCTACCCCACAGGAGTCATGCAAGAGAGATGTCCAAACTAAACAGGAATTTAGAGAGCAGTCTTAAAAGGAGTGTGATGTTCAAAATGGGAAGGGATCAGAGGTCTGTTGGGGCCCTTGGAAGGAGCTGGAAGGCATTCAGACTTGCAAAAGAGTGGGCCACCCCACCTCTGAGACCACATGAAGCTAGGCTCAGTGCCATCTTAGACCAAAAGGTGCCAGTTTGGCTTCAACCAGGCGCAGGAGCACCCAGCCTTAACGGTCTGGTGAATTTGATCTGGAAAATTGAACAGGACTGAAAATGGTGATCTGGGGTCCCTTTGGGCCCTGTGACACCACCACTAGGAAAACGACCTGAGGGGGAGGGAAGATTCTTAGAGATCAGACCCAGCACCCTGGCAAGGCAGAACTGGGCTAGGACTTGAGTTAACAAGTATATGCATGTAGTTTGTAAACTAACCTCTCCTCCTGCCCGTGCAGCCTTCCTCCCATTCCTGCTTATTCACTCACTCAGCAAACTCGGTCAGCCCCACTTCTGTGGCCAGTGAGGAGCCTGATGAGAAGGATCTGAAGCCCATGATGGTACAGGATCCGGGGGACACTGGATAGTGGCAGAACTGTGATACAACCTGGGTCTTTAGGTTTCTAGGGCAGGGAGCTTCCCCTCTGCTGCATAAAGCTTATTATCTCCTCCCAGAGGAGCTCTGTCATTTTGCTTTTCTTTCCTGAATGAGGACTTGGCATCAAGACAGCCACAGATAAGACACACGGTGTCATAAAAGCAAAGATAGGAAAACTGTATACTCCTTAGCAGTCTATATCGATACTCTAAATCCTTTAAGATAGAATCTGCTGTGCACATAGGTTATTAAGGGATTTAAATATATTTTCACGTGTACATATTGTCATAAAATGCAGTTCTGTGACATAAAGCACATTAAGTTGTTTTCTTTAGCAATCAGTGTAATTCAGAATTCTGTCCTTTTGCAATAAGGGCTGTGTGTTGTGGCTTGAGAGCCTGCTATGTGCTCTTTGGTGCATGGATGGTATCGGTATCTTCACTATTACACCTTGAGGGAGGAGTTGCTTTTCTCTCCATTCTGCCACGGGGAGACTGAGACACAGTGGAGTTGAGGAATTGGCCAAGGTCACAGGGTAAGTGGCAAAATCTGGATTTGAACTCAGGCAGTCTGGCTGCAAAGTTCAAGCCCTTTATCATTGTGCTATACTGTCTCTCACAAGAGAAGGCCTTTGGAGTTAACATTTTAGCCTGAATCTCATAGGATCTGCCCAAGAAACTTGAGTTTTCAGTTAATTTCCCGGTCCTAAGCAACACTTAAAATTATTCTAGTCCATGTGAATGCTGCCGTAGAACACTGTAGACAAGTGTCGGCACACTTCTCACCTCATTGGAAACCCATAAAAGTAATTGCCAGGTGTTAACACACACTTTAAAAAAAAAAAAGAGCTTTAACACTGCAAAGGCAAGCAAAGCCTCCTGGATCTCCCCAGTGTATGATTCTTTGCTCAAAGTAAGTGGAACGGATGGATGGAGGCACTGAATGATTGAGTTATGGGTTTTGATTATGCTCTTAAAGGGAACTAAGGAAAATGTGTATAGGATTGGGAAATCAGAAGACATTAGTTCAAGTTTGGGCTCTAACATCATTCCCCCTTTACCCTTGGGCAAGTCATTTTGCCTCTGAGTGTGTTTCCTCATCTTTAAGATGAGGTTGGTACTGGGGCACCTGGGTGGCTCAGTTGGTTAAGCGACTGCCTTCGGCTCAGGTCATGATCCTGGAGTCCCGGGATCGAGTCCCACATCGGGCTCCCTGCTCAGCAGGGAGTCTGCTTCTCCCTCTGACCCTCCTCCCTCTCACGCTCTCTGTCTCTCATTCTCTCTCACACAAATAAATAAAATCTTAAAAAAAAAAAAAAAAAAGATGAGGTTGGTACTTTTCACCCTTCCCACCCTCACAGAGCTATTGTTAGAATTACATGAGATAATACATGTGAAAAGGGTTTGACCTACATAACTGTGCAGATGCTCATTATCCTGAGGCTCAGGGGTCCCAGAGAGAGGTGCCAGAGCAGAGGTGGGAATTTAAGTTTCCCTTGACTACCCTATTAAAAAGGAAGTGTGCACCCTCTTGTGGCGAAGTGTGGGGGTTAAGGGAGCCTTCTGAAAAACGCTGGAAGGTTGTTACTGGGTTTTTTTTTTTGTTTTTTTTTTGTTTTTTAAGATTTTATTTATTTATTTGAGAGAGAGAATGAGATAGAGAGAGCATGAGAGGGGGAGGGTCAGAGGGAGAAGCAGACTCCCTGCTGAGCAGGGAGCCCAATGCGGGACTTGATCCCGGGACTCCAGGATCGTGACCTGAGCCGAAGGCAGTTGCTTAACCAACTGAGCCACCCAGGCGCCCCGTTACTGGGGTTTTTAAAAGTTATCTCCAGAAATCCTTTCCCATTAATGAATGTACACACTCTTTCTAAACAAAAACTTAAATTGCAGTGTAAATAAATTGCTTAGTCTTTACCCAGTTTTGTTTGCATTGAGAGATACTACATATTTTTCTTCAATCAGAATAAATGTTTTCCTCCATTTCATTCCTGTTTCATTCATAGAGGTTTTTTTTTTCCTAGACTACTGTATTTATTTTGGTTTCCTTTGTCTGTTTGTATTTACTTTTTTTATCTGATTTAATACCTGTTAAATTTTTCATGTACAGTTAGAGCATACCGTGTCTGCCTGTGCTAACACAGGGCTTCTGGCACCTACCCATATAGTAGATGCTCAATAAATGGTGCTGAGTGGATGCTGACAATCTTAAGCATTCCTCAGTTCCTTTCCCTGTTTTACCTGTGGGCACCCCCTTTTCCTTGGCATCAGTTTTCCTGAAACATACAGAAATAAATTAAGGAAGTGTGGCATTTCAGTCACTTAACATTATTTTTCTTAGTTCCCTCTCTAGTAAAGTAAGGGGGTGAGAATAGGTGATTTCCAAGGTTCATACTCTGTGGAGGTAAGGAAATAAGATGACATTCCTTAGCAGAGTTTGTGAATGTCTTCTTATGCTTGTCAGCTTTTTTTTTTTTTTTTTTTCAGATTTTTTTGTTTGTGAGAGAGAGCACAAGCAGGGTGAAGGGCAGAGGGAGAAGCAGGCTCTCTGCTGAGCAGGAGCCCAATGCGAGACTCGATCCTGGGACTCTGGGATTATGACCTGAGCTGAAGGCAGATGCTTAACTGACTGAGCCATCCAGGTACCCTTGTGAGCTTCATTATATCCTCCCTCAGTTCCTAGGTGAATAGAGGGAGGAGGCATCAGAACAAGGTATAGTGGAAGGAAAGGCAGAAGGAAGGGTAGAGGTGGGATGAACTACAGGATAAGAGATCATTGTGTGTTGGGGTGGGGGTGGGGATTAATAGAACAGTAGCAACATTCCAGAAAGAAGCTGTAACATCCTGAGCTATGTGAAAATTTTTCATAACTTATGCACATTGTATTGTCTGTGATGCTCACAGGGGATTATCTGACTCAACATCCTTTATTCCCACATTGCTCACATTAAATTTGAGGAAAAAAATCTTTTTCTCTAATTGAGTTATAAAGTCCCTGATCATGTAGCCATTCAGACTACAGCATTGCTTTTTAATTGGCTTTATACGCTCTTCATTTTGCTAAAAGTTTCTTCTTCAAACCTGCTTCTTTAAAAGCATGTTGTTGTTTTAGAGAACTTGTGATGCAGGTATCACAGAAGGAGGCCAGTGTCTTTACAGGGAAGGCCCTTGTGGTGTGGGGAGGTCACGGGGGGGGGGCGGCGACGGGGGGGCTGGCCTGGAATTGGGTCTCTGTTTGACAATTTCAAGATTCATACCAATCTAACTAATAAAAGACTTGATAGTCAAATGTCAGTTGAGTGACATACTGGGAAGCACTGAAAACCCTGCACTGTTCCTCTTGGCTGGCTAGGGTCTTCTGCTGGAGAGGTCAGGTTGCTATTGCAAAATGCCTTGGTGCATGATGGGGAGTTAATTAGCTTCATTAATTGAACAGACCTTTTTTGAGTTTCACTCTATGCCAAGTACTGAGCAAAATGCTGGAATTAAGACAAAATTCTAAAAAAAAAAAAAAAAGACAAAATTCTAATTTTTAAGGCCTTACACTTCCATCAGAGAGCCGTGTAAGCAAATATTACAATCAAGTGCTTAGTGCTGTAAAGGGATATACTGGGTGCTTGGAGGCAGAAGGAAGAGGTGAGTGCCTACTGTACTAGAAGTCTCCTTCAAGGAGAGTAAGAGTTTCTCTGGACAAAAGAGAGAACGTGTACACTCTGGGAACTGCAAGGAGTTGAGAATGATCTTTACTGCTCATTGTCTTTAAGCCATAAAACCTGATGAGAAATTGAGTCCTTGAACCTTACTTGTGAAGAAGTCTGTGAGATTCATGGTGGCTAGTCATGGTACCCTCACCTGGAAAATGATACAGCTGTACCATCTGCTCTTTGGGCTTCTCTTCTTCTAGATTCCATGCTGTACAGCAGTGGTTTTCAAACTTCTGGTCTCCGGACTTCTTTACGCTCCTACAAATTATTGAGGACTCCAAGGATCTTTTGATATTCACCATTTGTGAAGTAAAAACTAAGAAAGTTTGAAGGTATTTATTAATCCACTTAAGATAATACAATGATTACATATTAATAGAAATAATGATTTCTTAGAAATAGCTATATTTTATAAGGCTAGAAAATTTAGTGAGAATATTGGCTTTTTGCAAATCTCTTTAATGCCTTGCTTAAGAGAAGGCATATACATTTGTATATCTGCTTCTGCATTCAGTCTGATATATTATTTTGGTTGAAATATATGAAGAAAATCTGGGCTCACCCAGATACGTAGTTGGAAAAAGAGTCTTTCAGTAGCCTTTTCAGATAATTATAGATATTCCTCTTTGATCCTACATCAAAACTTGACAAGTAGTGGTTTCTTAAAGATTAGTTGCCATACAGTATCTGAAACCATACAAATGAACTTTAAGATTCTGTTACACTAGAATCTCTTACTAATGCAGAAATTTGTAATACCATACATTAGTTATTTAGAAAATACTGTATTATTCAGGTCTTCCAGATGTTGACGTTACATTATCAATTACAGTATCAAAAAATCAATCATTTGCTATCCTGACTGATCTCATCTCAGAAGTCTTAAATCTTAGTAAGCTGCAAGCTCTTGATGGTAAAATACAAGTTTCCCCAAATCCTCATTTTTGCTTGAGAGGTCCTGTTTCATCATTAGCAGCATAAATACTATCAGTTGTTTTCTTTGAAGTCATAGGCTCCCTTCATTTATTTTCAAGAGTCTGTCAGGTACCCAGTTCTGAATAGCTCTGGCTGCCTGTCAGTCTTTTTTTTTTTTTTCAGGTAAAAATGGTATTTCCATGAAGAAAGCCCACAACTCCATCACAGAAGTTCCTTTCCTTGAGACAGCATCTTACTTGAGTATATGGAAAAGTGCTTTATGTATACTTTGCGTTTTATCACACAATATTTTTTAAAAGATTTTATTTATTTATTTGACAGAGAGAGAGCGATCACAAGTAGGCAGAGAGGCAGGCAGAGGGAGAGGGAGAAGCAGGCTCCCCACCGAGCAAGGAGCCCGATGCAGGACTCCATCCCAGGACCCTGAGATCATGACCTGAGCCAAAGGCAGATGCTTAACGACTGAGCCACCCAGGCACCCCTATCACACAATATTTTGGAAGACCAGTGCTCCAGGGTCAAGATTTTTAAAAATTAGTAATTTCTGCTGCTTATCAAGGACTCCATTACTGAATGTGTACAGGTGAGAATACAATGACTACGGGTACATTTTAGTGCCATTGCCTTGATTTATGCGAAGGTTTCAGCAGTTTTAGCTATCATTGCTTTTGTACCATCTGTACAAATACCAACACAGTAGAAAAGGCAAATCATATTTTGGTATTATTAGGAAAATAGTTTTAGCCTTTGCAACTCCTGAAAGAGTCTTGGGGATCCCAAAGATCTGCAAATCACACCTAAACATATATATGTATATATTTAATATATTTAACAATTATATATATATATAAATTATATATATAAACATATTTAATATGTTTAACTCATAACTGAGTTAAAACCCATATCCTAGAAAGGCTAATGCATTAGCTAACAATTCAGCAGGGGTTGGTTTACTTAATTAACCCAACACTCTTGCCAACCAAGTTAAGGCTCTGAGGGAATGGAGGAGGACAGTGCTTGATGAAGGGACGGAAGTGGGGAAACCCAAGAGCGGTGAGGGGTCCATTGGACAGCCAGATCTCTGGGGAGGGGAGGAATGATACAACTTTTCCTCTCATACATTGGGATTGATCCTGGTCATGTCTTTATCCTTTGCAAATTGCACACATAGTTCAGGCATATGTAATGTGAGTGCCCCTCCCTGCACATTCTCCAGCTCCGAGGCACCGTCATCTCTGGAGGGTACAATAGACCTCATTAGTTCAGACCTGACTAATGTTGAACTTGTGACTATTGGAAGTAGGCGGTGCAATGCACAGAAAAGAATATGAGCTTTGCAATGAGGCATGTCAGGGCTCAAATCCTGGCTCTGTCATACACTAGCTGTATGGCCTTGGGCAAGGGGTGAACCTTTCTAGGCGTTGGTTTCGTCTCTGTGAAATGGGGCTGCCACTACCTCTGGAGGGGGTTGCAAATGTTAAATGAGATAGCTGATGGTAGGTACTCAGTAAATGCCTGTGACCTTGCACATGCCAGCTTCATTTATCTTAAACTCCATCACTGGTCATTTGTAATAAAGCCCTGACTCCTGTTCAGTGTCATCCTTGGCTTTTTTGCTTTTATTAAGAAAGTGAGTTTTTGGAAAAAGTTAGATGCAGTACTAGAAGGATTGTTGGGATGCTGCTTCTCCAGGAATTTCAATAAATATTTCACAAAAGCATGACCCCTCTTCTTCCCTGTTCCTGGGGATGCCGGAAGTGCTCTGATCCAGAACCCTCTGCTCCAAAGGACTGCCCTTTTGTTCACCAGCTCAGCCTGGAAGTAGCCCAGTTACTGTTCAGTTCACCCCAGCCACTTTCATGCCATCTGCCCAAAGTGAAGAAGCAGAAGGAAGCCATGTGTGGAACAGTGGGCACACAGCCACCTCTCCAAGGTCCGCCCAACGGCCTCTTCCCTCCTGGTTGCCACCCAGGCTGATTCTTCCCCAGTGCTTTGTCTCTCTGGCTGTGCTTAGAATCTTCACTGTTCCTGGAATTTCTCTAATTGTTTCTAGACTCTGGGTGGCTGCACCTTTTTTTTCCCATAGCACCCTTGGTGAGTTTCAGAAAACCCTGTGGTCATTAATGAATCTATTTTCACAACCTCCCCAGAAACAAGTCTCTTCCGTGTTCTGGATCAAAGAACCTATTACTGACACAAAAGGAACCCAGCCAACTGGCCTTCCCCCCACGGGAGGCAGGCCCCACTCTAATCTTGCCTTGGCTTTTGACTTGCTGTGTGGCCTTTGTTTCCTCATCCAATGATAATATCTACCTCACAGGAATATTGTGGAGCTCAATAGATGCTAAGAACTGTTCCTCTTCGAGGCTGAAAGATCGGTATCACATCTACTACAGTGCCAGAGGACTCAAAGCACCTTATAGGAGTCTAATTTTTCCCTTATTTGGTTGAGGTAGATTAGTGGCAGGTGTTCCCGTGCCCACATTGTACCCTTGCAAATGTGCCTTTCACCATCTCATTTCAACACTTCCTATTCACTTCCTCTTTGCAGGCTCACAGGAAATTGTCTATCTGAATGGAGACTAAAGACTGATGGGCTAAGTAGGCTTTGTGTCATTTCACTCTTCAGTTTGTGTGTTTGATTCCACTTGTGGTCGGGGATGGAAATGTTCTCCTCTGATCCTGCGTCCTTTCCCAGTCTCCTTTTTGGTTTCAGTCCCTTTTCTCAGTACTTTATCCTTTGACCTCTTGGCAGCATTTGGCACGAATAATGATCACTTTTTCCAGAACTTGTTGGTGATATTATACCCCCAGAATTCTGCCTCTGTGACTTACCAAACCTGGTCCCTCTCATCTATTGTTCCTCTAATAAAGGCTGAGGTTAAAACCTTTTCTCAGCACGATCTCAGAGGTAATCTCATCCATTTTCAAGGTTTTAACCAAAACCAGTGTTCCGCTTCTGGTCCTGAATTTCTTCTTGTTTGACGTTTCTTAGATCCTCCTAACATCATGCAGATTCAGTATGTTCAGTATATTTAGAATGGAATTGACTTTCTCTTCTCTACACACCAGAAATCGGTCCCTCTTCTGGATGAACTTAATTCTGTCAGGGCTTCCACCATCAATTCAAATGTTGGAGTCATCTGAACTCTCTTTTTCTCAACCCCTACATTTAATCTGTCCCCTGTAAAGACTCTCTCTGCCCCAGTTTTTAGGTTTGAGTCCTACAAAACCTGCCATATTGTCTCGGTGGTTCCCTGCGGGTCTCTCTGCCACCAGTGTCAACCCACTGCAGTCAGGTTAGCCTTCTGGCGAAGAGCACGTTCAAGCCTTTCCAGTCCCTCTGCTGACTTAAAGCAATTGTAATGATTAACTGTTGCAGTGTAACAAATCCAAACGGAGTGGCATAAACTAGCCGCCATTTTTTTTAGACTCACAGATTGTCTGGATTAGGAATTTGGAAAGGGCACAGTGGGTCGGCTTGTCTCTGCTCTGGGATGTCTGGGCCCTCTGCTGGAAAGATTCAGAGCTGGGGTGTGACTTGACATCTGTCACATCTTTGGCAATCTGATGCTGGCTGTTGGCTGGGCCCTCAGCTGGAGCTGTCAACTGGAACAGTGGTCTCTCCATGTGGTTGCTTGTGCTTCCTCACAGCATGGTGACTGGGTTCCAAGAGCAAGCATTCATAAAAGAGGCAGGGTATGATCTAGCTTCAGAAGCCCTACACTGTCACTTTTGCCATGGTCACAAGCCTGACCAGATTCAAGGGAGGGAGCAGAGAATACCATCTTTCAGTGGGAGAAGTGTCAAAGTCACATCACAAGAGCATGTGGATAATTTTGTTGCTATCATCTTTGGAAAATACAGGTTAAAGAAGCTTGTCAAGGGTCTTCCAATTAGTAAACAGTTGGGTGGGGTTTGAACATAGAACCTTTGACTGCAATCTTAACCTCCATAGTGTCTCCACTTAATCAGGGCAAAAGCCCAGGTACAGAAAGAGATGGGGAAAAAAAAATGATAGCAGTTATAAAAACTTACTAGGAATTATTTTTAAATTCTGATCTCCCCTTGTCCAGTTGCAGTCCTGCAAGGTTCACAACTCAAGGGAAGGAAGACTTGTTGGCGGATAGCTCGAGCCAGCTTAGTCCTTGGACCACACTGGCCCCTGTGGACAAGAGCCCAGGGAATGATCTCAGTGACTGTCTCTGTGTCTGCCTCTTCGGGCCTCTGCTGGGCTGTTTTGCTCATGTGCTTTCCAGGAAGCTTGCTTTCTCTTCTCTTCTCTCCATCTGTTCATTCCTTCCTGGTTCTGGTACCCACTTAGACCTCCCTGCCTCTTCCATGTTTGCTTTGACCTCACCCTCATTGCAGCCCCACTGAGAGTTAGAGATTTGTCTCAGCATGGTTTGGCTTTTCACTGGAGTTGGCTCCTCTGGCTTCTCTGGGGTTACTCAGGCTGAACCTGCTTTCCTGGGGTTTCCTTCCAACCTTGTTCATGCTGTTTTATCTGCAAGATGAATGTCCTTTCCTCCCCTTCTTTACGTGAATAATGCCTATGCTTTCTCTAAGGTTCAAGTCAGGTTCCGACACCCCTCTCCCTTATGGCTGGTTGTGGCCTCTCCTCAGAGCTCCCAGAGTTTCTTGTACATTCTTCTGGAATGGTTTTTACACCATTCTGTACTTACCTGTTGTTTCGTTCCATGTGACCCTTATTACTTCCAGCAGGGAAGAAACTGGAGCCCTCCAGTTCATTGTTCATCGTGGAGCCCTCCATGCCTGTTCAGGGCTGGGCATATCAAAGACACTCAGATCCTCCTGTGGTGGTTGATGTGTGCCTGGAATACTAGTGCTTGCTCATGTCTATTAATGGATAGACTGGGGTGGGTGCTGCCAACAGAGTTGCTGGGGTGGGAAGAAGATTCAAGGATCTTGAGACTGAGATAAGGCTTCTCATCCAAAAAACTATTGTGTGTCTTTGGACAAATCACTTCTCTGGGATGTAGTCTTTTATTTATGAAATGAAAGGATTTCTCTAAGGACCTTCCCAGCCTTAATACTCTATAAAGATAACTTTATCTGATAAGCTTTTGACTATACACTGCCATGGAGCTAAGTAGTGAGTTCTGAGTATTGGAAATATGACCCAATATCATTACTTCCTAAGGATAGGGTTTAGATATTTGCACAATTTTGATTGTGTCCCTGGTGGGGGACTGTGGTTAGCTGGATTTGATAGAGTCATAAACACGTCCGCAGTCTATAAACCCTGTTCCTTCCCCATGTAAACCTCAGTGGATCCTAAATCTCATGACTTGTAAGTCTCCATTGAACTTAATGTCTTCTCTCCAGTTTAGCCAATAAGAAACATTTCAACAATTTTCAACTCTTAATTAGCAAAGCAAGACAAAAGTACATATCCCTTTGGAAACAAGACAAAACAGTTTTTTATGCTAACAGTTTTCCCTTATAATGAAGTCTGCTCTTGAAAGCACCCTAATATAGTAGGTTCTTATGACTCAATTATAATTACATACATATATAACATATACATAATAATTATATTTAATTATGTATATGTAAATGTATGTGTGTTGATGTATATGTATATACATATACAACTGATCCTTTAACAACAGTTTGAACTTCATAGGTCTGCTTATATGCTTATATGCAGATTTTTTACAGTACTGTAAATGTATTTTCAGTTCCTTATGATTTTCTTAGTATTTTTTCTTTCTCTTAATTATAAGAATACAGTGTATAATACATATAAATACAAAATCTGTGTTTATCACCTGTTTATGTTATCAATAAGGCTTCCATTCAACAGTAAGCTATTAGTAGTTAAATTTTGGTGAGTCAAAAATTATATGCAGATTTTTGGGGCACCTGGGTGGCACATCCGTTAAGCCTGTGATTCTTGGTTTCAGCTCAGGTCATGATCTCATGGGTCATTAGATGGAGCCCTGCATCTGGCTCTCCGCTCAGCATGGAGTTGTTTCTCTCTGCCCCTCCCCTGCACATGCACATGCCCTCTCTCTCCCTCTCTCAAATAAGATTTTATTTGAGAGAGAGTGCGTGAGCACAAGCGGGGAGAGGGGCAGAGGGAGAGGGAGAAGCAGACTCCCTGCTCAGCAGGGAGCCCGATGCGGGGCTCTATCCCAGGACCTTGAGGTGATGATCTGAGCCGAAGGCAGACGCTTAACTGACTGAGCCACCCAGGCACCCCTCAAATAAATAAATATTTAAAAAAAGAAGTTATAAGCAGATTTTTGACTGTATGGGGTGGGGGTTCAGCACCGTTAATCCCTTGTTGTTCAAGGGTCTGCTGTATTTACATAATTACACAGCATAGGGCCTGAAGTCTCCACTCAACCAGCCCTGATGTAAAGAGGCCACATAATTTTCCAGTGAACTTACACTGAGTACAGCTGAGGGTCATTTCCTGGAGTCTCTGTGTAGCCTCCACCAAACTGATCATTCTTAGTTTGATTATCCCAGTCTGGATCATACAAGCCTCTTACTTTACTTCTCTTCTCCACCCTCCCACTGTGTTACCTATTTCCAAGCTCAGTATACCTCCTCCAGAAAGCACAAAATGGCATAAAATTGAAAACTTAAATCTGTCAGTGTTGCCTCTCATTCAAGTTTCATTTCAAGTTGAAGTGTGAAGGAAGTGGTAAAGGAAGGCGGTAGTGTAATAAGAAGTGATTCAGTTTTTATTACAATCCCTTCTTTAGTTTTTGAAAATAACCCATGAAGCTGCATTACTCTTATCTTGTATCTTGCTCCTGTGGCATGTCCTGACAGTGATTTCCTCTTCTTGTGCCTCAGTTTCACCCCCTACAAAATGGGGATAAACAGACACTGCCACCTGGAAGTTTCTAAGGGCTGCCAAGGAGGCTGGTTAGTGGTGAGTGAATGGTTGGTAAATAGAAGGCATTATCTGCCACCCAGAAGAAAAGCGCTTCACAAATAGACTGAAAGACTGCCCTGACTTGCCAAAGGGGCATTCTTTGTAAGCAGGAAGAGTCAGGAAGGAAGCTAACGTGGGTAAATTCTCCCCAGGGTCTGTTGGTCCTGATGACAGGGAACTCACAAGGTGGGTGTTCATGTCTTTTCACATGAAGGTGAGGGAGGGGGGTGGTGGACAGACAGGGAGGAAGATGTACCTGGTCAGGTACATGAGAGACCTACTTGAGGTTTTGTGGGGGTTTTTTGTGAGAGAGAGTGAGAGGAGAGAGAAAGCAAGGAGTGGGGAGGGGCAGAGGGCAAGGAAAGAGAGAATCTTAAGTAGGCTCCACACCCAGTATAGAGCCCGATGTGGGGCTCGATCTCACGATGCTGAGATCATGACCTGAGCCAAAATCTAGAGTCAGATGCTCAACCAGCTGAGCCACCCAGACGCTCCCAAGGTTTTTGTTTTGTTGTTGTTGATCTCCCATAGCCTCCCGTATTAGTGCAAACTCCTCACCCACAGAAATAAGGCCTCTGCACTTATCCCAAATTAGTATTCATCTGTCTCCTCATTAGGTGTACCCCGTTGGCCCTTGCCCAAATACAGGCTGTTATTTCCTCTCCCCACCCAAGGTCATGTGTGACCATCACAATCATCATGGTTCACACGCAATACCACCTGCCAAGGCACGATTGGGGTCCCTGGTTTCCCAAGGATGTGGCTCCTTTATGTTGCAAAGGGCAGCAACTTGGGAAGGTCCGGGAAGCCCCAAACAGCTCATCACAGAGGTGGTTTTTGACTCCAAAAGATGCAAAACCATTATCTCTGGTGTGACCTTGCCCCTTGTTCATCTTCCCTGCTTGTCAAGTTTTCATCATGGCTTTGCTCTTCCCCTCTTTCTGCTTCAGTTTTCCATTCAGATTTCTTCCTTCCTATCTATCTGCCAGTTCCAGGGGGCAGTTTCTGACCTAATTTCTGGCAGAGTTATTGCTTTGACTCTTGAATTACACTCACGTTCTCCATTGGCTCTGATATACAATACCTACCCTCCCAAGTGCAAGGGTCAGGTTTTTTGTTTGTTTTTGTTTGTTTGTGGGGTTTTTTTGATGAAGATAGTAAATGTATTGGGCTTTGTGGCATAAGTCTGTCATAGCTACTCAATGCTGACATTGTAGTGACAATATGTGTGTAAACAATACATTTCTATAAAACTTTATTTACAAAAACAGGATTCAGCCTAGATGTAGCCAACCAGCCAAGTTTGGTGATCCCCTACTCTAGTCAAACACTTGTTAATATCCACTTCTCACACCTGTTCATGTAACTGCCAGCCTAAATATGTGATATTCATTCATGTAGTCAATGCAAGAGATCATGTCTGGGACATGTCCAGCTGGGAATCCTGCAGCCTCAGAGTTGAGGGTTCTAGAGAATACTACTTGTTCTATTTACTCAGCCCATGAAGGAGTACTAATTTGGAACTGGGGAGAAGCACTTGTATTCTGAGGGCCAGTGTGACGTAGAACAGCATGTCCCAAATTTCAGCCATCAGTGTACTGCTTCCATGTTTTCTGCCATATCTTCACCACCTGAACCATTAACTTTTTTATTGCCCTTTAAAGTGATTCCCCCTTTAAAAAACTTAACTCAGAGGCACTTGGCTGGCTCAGTCAGTAAAGTATGCTACTCTTGATCTTGGGGTCATGATTCAAGCCCATGTTGGGTGTAGAGCTTACTTAAACAAAAAAACTTACTGTAAGTTTAATTTAAAAAGAAACTTTATATCATTTATGTAAATGGAAAACCAGTACCATTTGCAATAAATAGAAAGTAACCATAAAAAATAAAGTATACTGTGAACAAAGTGTTATTAAATTCTAGGTACTGTTGCTTGTTGAAAGGTTCTCCTTTCAACATGATCTCCTTTTTTAAAGAGGGAGAAGGATTAGTATTGATGAGGTATTAAAAACTGTCCAGCCACAGCCTGAGACTTTTTCCTTGAGGTACAAAGAAATATTAGAAAATAAGTGAAATGTGATACATTGTTTTTATTGCTGAATTTGCTCACCTCTTGCAGTCATCACATGGAACTATGTATGTCTCGTGTGCCACCTAAAAACACTACCAGAATGGAAGGACTAGTGATGTGGGCGTCAGATCTGTGTTCAGATTCCTGGCTTCACCTTAGATTCCCCAAGTGCAAAGTGCAAGTAGTTAATACTTCACCTTCATTCATGCAAGATAGGAGCCAGGTATTGACTATCTGGGTCAGTGGCAGTGTGGGGCTCTTTTAGGCACTGTGTCTAGTGTTCGTAGGGTACCCCACACAATGCCTGTCCCTCGCATAGGCACTGTTGTTGTCCTTGGAATGCCTGTGAGTCCACAGTCTCTCTTATAGTTCTTACAGTAATATCTGTGAAATTTCTATAACTGACCCTATCCCATCACAGCTGAGGAACCTTGGGCAAGTTACTTACATTCTCTGCGGGCCTGCTGGCCAGTGTGAGACTCAAATGAGGGGGCGTGTGTAAAATGCTTTGCAGCGGTGAAGGCTGCACCAGTTTTATCCTTGACAGTACCTCGGATGGTAGGTTTTGGTGTCCTGTCTTCCTTGCCTCCCGGACTGGTTCCTGGAAGGCGGAGACTGTAGTGGGAGCCTTCTATCTACATCACCCCTTTCCATTTACAACTTGTGCAAAACTGTCAGTGAAAGGAATGGAAAATGTAATTCCTGTTCATTCTCACTTCCTTTTCTACCTCCCAAGACCGGAGCTTTTGGCCTTACAATCTCTAATGAATCTCAGTAGTCCCTCCTTCCCATGTGGAAAATACTGGTGTGGTAGATGAGGCTGTGGCCATTGGTGTGGGCCTGGGATGAAAATG